CACGGAAAAAAAAAAAAAAAAAAAAAAAAAAAAAAAGAATTTTGATAATGGGAATTAAGTGCATTACAGGTTGTGAGATAAACATTTGGCAATACACATACAGTGTGAGATTCATTCTCACTATCTGTCATAATCATGTAACACCATCCCAAAAGAACACCACCAGAGGAGGGTTGTATTTTGCATCTGTTCAAATTTGCAGATTCGAATATTGCATATCCTTTAGGCCAGTGTTCTCAAACATTTTGGTCTCAGGATCTCATTACAAAAGTCTAACATTTGCTTGAAAGACTGAATTTTGCCACTGACAACAAATACTGTCAGTTGTTTTCCTTGAAGTGACAAGCTCACTCATTTACTTGAGAGAATATCTGCCACAGTAACCAAGACTGAATCGCCATTGTTTGTGTGTCTTTCAAATAAAAATGGCGTTCCATGATAAATGTGGCTAGGGTAGCTCACAACAATCACACAATTATCAATCTTATGGGTATTCCAGTTATAAAACGAAACACTAACTCACGTATTCGACTAGATTCTAACATTCTTGATGGTACTTTACCTTACACTTCATTTGTATTTGGTGTTAAGCACAGATAGATACTTAAAACAGTTACTGACTGCTTCAATAAGACCATCACCAGGCACTCCCAATGTGTGTGTGTGTGTGTGCATGTATGTATATGTGTAAGGACACAAATATGTATCCAGTTCTTCTGTACCACATATACCATATACCAATTAACAAATATGTAAATAAAGTAACTTTCAATAATCATTAACAAGGTGTTTCCCAAGTATTCTTTAAGATGTTGAAGTAAGTTTTGGAAATGACTAAGTTAAGCAAAGTTAAAGGAGGAATTTTTGTGTTTTTTGTTGCAGGACTTTCTACAGCCTTTCTAATATCAAATATTCATCACCAATTTCTAAAGAGAGGAATCATTAAGAAGTATTATTGGTTCAGAGAATCCTTTTTAATAGAGGAGAAGGGAACTATCTAGACTAGAGATCTACACAAAAAATTTTTGATCATTTAGAGCAGAGGTCTTCAAATTTTTTTATTCATTTACCTCCTAGAATTTATAAAAACTATTAATCCTTTTGCATGTTTCTGTGCCAATATCTATGTATTATAAAATTAGTAACTAAAAGATATAAAGCATATACATATACTGTATATTGTATATGTGCTTTAAAGATATTTAAAACTTGCAGCTGCAGAATTAGTTCATTCAATTTATTAAAACCACTGCCATATAACCTAATTAGCAAAGCCAGTTGCTGTAAATTGGATGCCCCCCATCCTCCCTGAGGCTTAATCTCCACTGTAACTATTGAGGGTAGGAAATCCTATTATGGTTATAGAGAGGTGGGGACTTGAAGAAGTGATTAGATTGTAGGACCATGCAGTAGTGAATGGATTAAAAATGGTGGCCATGGGCGTGGTGTAGAATGCTTTAAAAGGAGAGTGAATTAGTCTCTCTCTGTCTCTCTCTCGGCTCTGCCATTTTGCAATGAGACACCTTGTCATCTCTGTTGCCACCACCAAGGCCTTCACCAAATGTGTTCCCTGGACTTTGGGTTTCCCAGCCTCAGAAACTGTAAGCAATAAATTTCATTTTTTATAAATTACCTAGTTCCAGGTATTTTGTTATAAGCAATAGAAACGGACTAATAAACCAGTCTTCACAGTCATCTCAATCAGACAAATCATAATCACTTTCTGTCAGAAAAAGTCTGACTTCATTTTCAATGCAGTAAACATGTTAACATGTCCCCACGACAACCATCTCAGTTCTGAATTCTACGCTAAAAAAGAAGAAAAAGGAAAGGTAGGAAGATGCCTGGAAAGGCACAGGAACTTGCCATGAATTTGTACCCTGACCCTTTAATAATTCTCATAAGTGCTATACATTCTCAAAATGTCTCTCTGATGTGCTTCTTAGGCTTTTACATTCTAGAGCAATGCACCATTCTAATATTCAGGATGGGTAAACTGCCCCACCCTCCTTTTTTTTAATATAAAGCAAGAGAAGGGAGATTTGAAAGGTAGGTGGGAAAGAAGATACAATGGACCTCAGGTACCACTCTCAGCATATACAAAGAGGGCACATATGGAAGTTAAAGATCTGAAAAATTAGTCCCTTCAAACTTGCTGACAGATACTAACTAAATTATTTATAGCTGAAATTAGATGATGTCTAGTATTTGTTTCAAAATAACTGGGGTGGGGGTTAAGAAGGAGAAGAGATAGGGCAGGACTGGTCACATGTGAATGTTGTTGGGCTGGGTGATTATTATGTAAGGTTTCATCATACTTTTGTCTACTTTTACATATGTCTGAAATTCTCCATACTAAAAGGTCAAAACAAAACAGAAAAATACTCCAAATCAGCTACCAGAATTTAAGTAGTCTTAGTCTGAGTATCATTGATACATGGTAAATATAAATCTACAGAAAACATACTAATTACCACTTAGTATGTTTATCTCCTCTCCCACTTGAATTTTATTGAGTTTTTTTACTCGCATACCCAATATATGATGCAGATAGTAATAAGAAAGCAAATGTGGCAGGGACAAAATGAAAAAGTAAGCAGATGCAAGAGCAGCACTCCAAATCTATATTTAAAACTATGTATAATGTTTAAAGTAAAAATGTCCAAAATAGCATTATATTTCCAGGGAAAAGATACAACATCTGAAAGAAGTACAACCACACATTGCCTATTTCAATTATGAGGATCAATACCACATAGGACTATTCTTACCAATATGGCGTTCCCACAAAAGAATTGGCAGGAGATGCCATGGAAGCAGATCCAAAGTCAGCAAGTTTCACCTGGCCTGGTTCTGTCAGAAGGATATTTCCTGCTTTGATATCTCTGGATTTAATGAACATGGAAATTATTTATCTTTCCTTCATTAGATTGTGTTTAAAATGATAAAAATCAAATAAGAATTTGTAAAGTAGGGAAGAAGAAATCAAAATAATTAAGTGCTGAGATAATCTTACAATTGGGATAATGATCCCAAATTTACTTTCAAACTTTCTCAAACAGCAAACACACTGTCCATCCAAACTAAAAAAATTATGAGTATTTATATAATGGAATTGTATCCATGGGGCATTATAACATACACTTAACCTTTCGAAAATTTAAACAGAAAAACCAAATTTCCAAGCACTTGTCAATTCTTATATAATCCTAATTCTTTAGGATTCAAACAAGAAAACAGAAAATACATCTTTCATATAAATATCTAGTAACAAATTTCTAAAAGAGAAGACAAATAGTGGTAAAAGGCAAAACAGAAAAAAAGTAACCGCAGCATATATTCTACACTTGCATTTCTGTGTACTGGTACAAATAAGGTTCTAAAAACAGAATTTAATTAGCTAACAAACCCTTTATAATATTTGAGAACCCCACTTAATGTTAAAAAAAGAAAAGGAAAAGAAAGCAAAAAACAAAAACAAAAAATCTTATCTTCCAAACTTGGTGTATTTTTTTGTTTTTTTTGGTTTGGCTTGGTTTTTGTTTTTTTAGCAGCTGGCCAGTAGGGGGATCCGAACCCTTGACGTTGGTATTAGCACTGTGCTCTAACCAAGTGAGCTAACTGGCCAACCCCAAGGATTATTCATATGACTTTCAATCTTTAGCACAGATCCCCTAACTAAATATGAAATGAAAACTGAAATATATGGATAAAGTAGCATCAATGATCCCAAATTTACTTTCTGAAACAGCAAACACACTGTCCGTCCAAACTAAAAAAATTATGAGTATTTATACAATGGAATTGTGTGTCCATGCGGTATTATAACATACTTAACTTTTCAAAAATTAAAAAAAAATTTTTTTTTCAAACACCTGTCAATTCTTTTTATAGTACTGTAATGCATATATACAGGTTGAGCATCCCTAACCTGAAAATCCAAAATCAGAAATGCTCCATTATCAGAAACTTTTTGAATACCAACATAATCCTGACAGAAAATGCTCACTGCAGCATATCAGATTTTCAGATTAGGAATGCTCAACCAGTATGTATTCTGCAAATATTCCAAAATCCAACAAAATCTATCTGAAACAATTCCGGTCCCAAGCATTTCGGATAAGGAATACTCAACCTACAATACTAAGTGAATGTATTTTCCTTCCATTTGTCTTGTAAAAGTCATCCCTCTATATCCACAAGGGATTGATTTCAGGACCCCCACAAATTCAAAAATCTGCATATGCCCTAGTTCCTTATATAAAATGGCATAGTTTTTGCATATAACCTACGCACATCCTCCCATATACTTTAAATCATCTCTAGATTACTTATAATACCTAATACAATGTAAATGCTATGTAAATAGTTGTTATACTGTATTTTTAAACTTTTGTATTTTTTTAAGTGTTGTATTGTTACTTTTTATTGTTTTTTCCCCCAAATATTTTCCATGCATTGTTTGTTGAATCCACAGATGCAAAACCCATGGACACAGAGGACTGACTATACTTTGAAGAGAGAATATCTTAGGTTTTAATTCCAACTTCACCAGTCACTTATTTACTAACATAGATTTCTCTTGGACCTTACTATCCTTATCTAAAAAAAACGATAACCCATTAACTCACAATGACCTTATTATATAGTCTGAAATGTATTATCTGGTTCACATATATATGAAAAAAAGCAAGTTTCCTTCTAAAACAGCCAAAACCAATACCAAGGCTGAAAATGCATTATGAAATTATTTGACCTCAAAAGTACTATCCATCATCAAGGATTATCAAGGACTAATAGTCAAAAGGAAAGAGTCTGGAGTAGCTTTTATCAATGTCACAGAATCAATGGAACAAACCTGGCATTATTAGTTAACAAGAAGACAAAAGATCTAAGTTTAGTTCTAGCTCCAATATATTTGACTTTGCAACCTTTGAGAAATTACAGTTACAAACTGGGGTATCATTTTCTTTACCTATAAAATAAAAAAGAAAGACTATATGATCCCTAATACCCTTTCTAGTTAGCAAATTAAATGATTCTACGATTAAATTTCCACCACAAATCCATAAAGTGCACATACTTTAGAAGGCCCATAAGCACCTGTAGGCAAAGATAAAATTATCCTAAACAGAGAGATCAAATTTATCACTATATTGTTTTTAAGACATGGACAATCAAAACAAATATGAGTTTATATGATTCCATTTGGCTATAACCAACAAAATTTTCAGAGTTAAATTCTATCATTCATAAATACAAGCCATTTGCTTGCTAGTACATGACAATTTTCAAAGCACTTACCTATGGATCATGGTATGAGAATGTAAGTAGGCTAATCCCTGGAGAGCACCATGTGTAATTGCTGCTATCTCCACTTCTTGTAATGGCTTTTTGTGGACTTAAATAAGAATTTATTTGAAAATAATTATTACATAGAACATGTTTGTTTAAAAAAATAAATATATATATCTAATGTATGGGCAGGGGCAATTTAAAGAAATTCGCATTTAACAAAAAGATTTATTTCCCAAGATGATAAAACTAGGCTACTGAACTTTATAACTAGTATACAGTTGTGCTTGCTGTTAAAATATAGTTCACAGTCTATTTCCTCTTAGGTAACATATTAAATAATTATTTGGTTATTACAAAGACAAAAGCAACAAAAAAAAGTTCTCCCTTTATTCTCATCTGTCTTTGTTCTGAACAGAAAGAGCAGATCAAGCTGAATGACAGAAAATCCAGAAAAAATGCTTGTAAAATCAAATGAGAGAAAACTCACCTATTTTATGCTGCTATAAAATATTTAATGAGAATAGCACATACTATGCTGAGAATCTGGAAAAGGCTAAGGTTTCCACTCTTTCTAGAAAGTGTTGCATTATTTAGTATTAACTTTAAATAACCTCTAACTGAATTATTATTTTATTCCATTAATACTTTTAAAAAAATAGTCAAAAGAAACTTACCTTCTAGTAAATCTGAAGCAGATCCTAAACAATATTCCATTACAAGCTACATGGGAAGAAAAATTATAAAGGCATTAAGATACTTTATTATACAGATTCTATTTGAGATAAAATACATTCACCCAGATCAAGAAGTTTGAAAGAAAACAAATTCTAGTCATCATCTACCTAAAAAATAAAGTTACGTATTCAGTAATTTGTTAAATGCATATATAAAGTAAACCAATAATACATTAATCCTTTAATAATGTCAAAATATAATAACTTCCATAAGCTATATATTTCATATATAGTTACTAATTAAAATTATAAAGGAATATACACATTGTTACTATTAACCTATAGTAACAATATTGATAATTGTTAGGAGGTAGACAACTGTGTTCTCTGGAACTATGTGTGCAGCTTAAATGTTTCTTTTAGGGCCTGGCCAGTTAGCTCAGTTGGTGAGTGTGAGCTGATAACACCAAGGTCCAGGGTTTGATCCCTGTACTGTCCAGCCATCCAAAAAAAAAAGTTTCTTTTAAAGCAAACACAGAGCACCTCCTATGTGCCAGGTATTTTATATATATTAACCAATTTAATCCTTCTAAGAATTTTATTGGGAAGATCTTACTATTATCCTTGTTTTACAGATGGAGAAACTTCAGAGAGAGAAAGGTAACCTGATCAAGGTCACTACTTTTTCTTCAAACATAGCTTCAATTTTACTTTATTTTTTTGGTGACTGGCCAGGACAGGGGCTGAATCCTGGTCCTTGCTGTCATCATTACCATGCTCTAACCAACCAAGCTAACCAGCCTCAACTTTAGAAGTCACTACCGGCACCACCAAAATCAAACGGGATAAAAATGCATGAAACATGACAAATCTAAATCTAAGTTAAGTATGTTAAAATGATAATTAGCTATGGCTTATTAGTTATTCAAAATAAGAGTAATTCCTGGTAACAACAGGGCAAAATTAATTTCTATTAGTTGTAATAAAGTGTCCCAAATCTATACCTTTACTATTATCCAGTCAAGAAATCATGATCAGTTTTAATTTCACCAGGATTGACCCCAAATTCACCAAGATCATTCTGGTTAAATGGATTACAATATGCTCATGTAAAAAAAGATATGCTAACTTTTGCCCTCAAGTAACAAGATTGTTTTCACAATGTTTGAATGGTACTTCTAAAACTATCAGAGGGCATTTTATCATACAAGAGGGTCTTCAAAAAGTTCATAGAAAATGAGCATTATAAAAAAACTACGCATGAATTGCAAAGGTTTTCTGCACCAAAATAAACTCATACTAACTTTTTACAACTTGTCTGAACAGGATCTAGTCTGAGGCACTACGAAGGATAGGATATCAGTTTGAAAAGAACTCCTATCAGAGCAACATGAATTCTGCTAAAATTGAAGCAAAAACAAACATCAAATTTCTAGTGAAGCTTGGGAGGAAGAAAGGTGAAGTCACTGTTGCTATACGAAAAGTCTATGAGGACAATGCCCCAAAGAAATCAGCAGTTTACAAATGGGTAACTCATTTTAAGAAGGGACAAGATAACGTTGAAGATGAAGCCCGCAGTGGCAGACCATCCACATCAATTTGCAAAGAAAAAATTAATCTTGTTCATGACCTAATTGAAGAGGATGACAATTACCAGCAGAAACAACAGCCAAACCACAGAAATCTCAACTGGTTCAGCTTTCACAAGTCTGACCAAAAAATTAAAGTTGAACAAACTTTCCATTCAATGGGTGCCAAAACTGTTGCACCCAGATCAGCTGTAGACAAGAGCAGAGCTTTCAATGGAGATTTTAAACACGTGGGATGAAAATCCTGAAGCATTTCTTCAAAACTGTAAACAGGTGATGAAACATGTCTTTTACCAGTATGATCCTGAAGACAAAGCACAATCAAGGCCATGGCTACCAAGAGGTAGAAGTGTTCCAGTCAAAGCAAAAGTGGACTGGTCAAGAGCAAAGATCATGGCAATGGTTTTTGGGGATGCTCAAGAAATTTTGCTTATTGACTTTCTGGAGGGCCAAAGAACAATAAACGTCTGCTTATTATGAAAGTGTTATAGAGATAGCCAAAGCTCTAGCAGAAAAATACCCGGGAAAGCTTCACTAGAGTTCCCCACCACAACAAAGGTCCTGCTGATTCCGCTTATCAAACGAGCAATTTTGCAAGAGTTCTGACGGGAAATCATTAGGCATCCCCCTTAAAGTGCTGATTTGGTTCCTTCTGACTTCTTTTTGTTTCCTAATCTTCAAAATTTCTTAAAGGGCACCCATTTTTCTTCAGTTAATACCTGAAGAATTATAGTAAGAAAAATGCTGCATTGACACAGTTAAATTCCCAGGACCCTTAGTTCTTTAGTGATGGACTAAATGGCTGATATCAATGCTTACAAACATATCTTGAACTTGATGGAACTTATATTGAGATATAAAGTTTACATTTTCTATTTTTATCTTTCAATTCCACTTTCCATGAACTTTTTGAAATCCTCTCATACACATGAAGGTCAGCAGAATTCTGAAAAATCTCTAGTAGACTTGCCAACCTCTATTACCTCTTATTGCTTAAGAGATCTAGGAAATGCTGCTGTTTTTCTCTCAGAATGAACTAACGTTTCAGGTGTTTTTCATGTCTTTACCCAACCTGTTTGAGATATTCTGAATTTATTAGTTTCAAACCAAAACCAATTAAAATTACAAGGAGAGAGCAGATACCAACCCATGCTGTGTGTTCACGTAAATAGCAGCCTTTGTATTCTATACTGTTGGGATGTTTTATTCTTTGTAGAAACTTGACTTCCTTAATGATATCCTGCCATTTCTGTTGGGAGAAAAAACAAAGAGAAAGAATTATGAACAGCTGCTTTTCCTTAGAAAGTTATATAAGAAAAAAGTAATTACTAAATTAAGAAGGACTAACAAGAACACTTTGATTTGCAATTTTTAGAGGAAATGTCAAGTTAAAAAAGTTCATTCATATAGTTTACAACTCAGTTATATAACTTACAAAATTATTTCATTCAAGGTAGGACAAATTTTAGTTTGATAAAATTCATCATTAATGAGTTTTATTAAATTTTACAACCATATACCAAGCATGTTGATAACTATATAACATATTCAGCGATTTTTTTTCTTCAAAAGTCAAACCTCTTTTTATTTACAACTTTATTGATGTATAAATTATACTATAAAGTTCACCTATTGTGTTTTTGGCTTATTTCTTCTACCAAATGTTAGTATTTCTTTGCTTTTTGTTTTTAACTGAAATGAAGTAATTCCTCTCAGATTTAAGTTCCTAAATGCAGGCTCTAAAATGCTAGCAAACAATTAATTAGTTATTACACAGGAAAGTTCACAGAAAAAACAAGCAGTATGAATACCTTTCCTACCTATTTCACTAAAAGCCTTCCTTACTAATACCTACCAGGAAATACAGATAAACCTTTGACCTTAAGCTACTTCACAACAACCTTAAATACTTAGGCCATATCCTAAACATAGTTACTATTAAGAAGTAACCAGGGAACTTTAAAAATACAGGTCTTTGGGTCCATACCCAGAAATTCTAAAGGTTTTAGTAAGTGTGGGATATGAACTAGGAATCTGTTTTTTGTTCTAGTTTTAGTTTTTTTAAGCATTTCCATTGACTTGGGCTATATTCTTAAGGACAGGAAAGGTACTGTACTAGAAAATGTTTTAGGGAAGTTTTGAACTAGATTTAAAATCATATACCTCCTATATTATTTCACAAGCCTTAAATGGAATACAACAAAACATGTTCACCATGTTTCATGTAAAATGTACTATAAAATGCTAAAATCAGAAAATTTATTTTATGGGCTTTAAATCTGAAATTTGATCACTCTGGGAGGCATACTCAAAAAAATTGTATTCCTCAATGTAAAATAATTTTCATGAAGGACACCAATATCAGACATTAAAGGATGATGCCCTAAAGGAAATTTTTTGTTCTTGGTGTGATTAATCAATCAAACTCCAACCTGGTACAACTGTAAGCCTGTGAATGCTAGTCCTAAAGCTGTTTTACAGAATGGCAAAGAAAAATTAGAGTAAATTTGTAAAATATGTTAGGAGTTTTTTAGGTATCAAAATGATAGAACAATAATATAATCATTATAGTATTATCATATTCACAGTATGATCATCACAAAAATAAGATTTGCCGTAAAATAAAGGGATTTCAACAAAATAGAAAACCAAAATCTTTAAAACTAATCCAGCAATTCCACTTCTAGGCATATACCTAAAATAACTGAATGTAGGAACTTGAAGAAATATTTGTATGCCCATGTTCATAGCAGCATTATTCACAAATAGCCAAAGGGTGGAAGCAACCCAGTGTCCATTGATAGATGGCACTTATATAAATGTGTGTGTGTGTGTGTGTGTGTGTGTGATGTACAGATAGATAAATAGACATGGATATGTAGATATGTATATTTACGTATGCACACATATACAAATACACACACACAGAGTATTTTTCAGCCTTAAAAAGGAGGAAATTCTGACGTGCTACAACATGGATGACCTTAGAGGACATTATGTTACATGAAATAAGCCTGTCACAAAAGGACAAATACTGAATGATTCCACTTATACAAAGTTCTTAAAGTAGTTAAATTCATAGAGATGGGAAGTTGAATGGTGGTTTGTAGGGGCTGCAGAATTACTGTTTATTGGGTACAGAGTTTCAGTTTTGCAAAATGAAAAGAATTTTAGAGATGAATGGTGGTAATGATTGCAGAATGATATGATTGCATCTAATGCCGCTGAACTGTACATTTAAAAATGGTTAAGATGATAACCTTTATGTTATGTGTATTTTACCACAATTAAAAATAATAAAAAATTTTAAAAATTAAAAACTGATAGAATCCTAGATTTTAAAAGTAGGCTATATTTTATAAATACACTTATGTAGTTAAGTAGAATAAATATAACCTGAAAAGAACTAATCAGAATATCAGCAAACTAAAGTATATTCAGTATAGTATAAATAATTTTATTTTTTGGTTTTTCACACTGTTACACATTGTCGCCTATTTCTCAGAATACACACTGCATTCGACTAAAATTGGTTTAAAATAGCCATTCAAGAGTTCCTAAACCATTTTAAAAGACTATTAATATAATTTACTGTCAAGTACATATTCTACTTTAATTTTTAGAAAGTGATAATCCCTCCAAGATAAACAGAGAATGAGATACTAAACCACAGTTTGAAAATTAAAAGCAGAGGGCACAAGCTGGAGGGATTTGGGGATGGCCCTCCATCCGTAATGTTGTTTATGGCTCTAGGTTATCAGTTAAACGGGTACATCAGTTTGTAAAAGAAAATTGAGACACAAAGATTTGTACACTTTTCTGTATGTATATTACACTTCTTCAAAAAATTCCACCCTTCCTCCCCAATTAAAAACAGTATGTTTTTCAATAAGAATGTGTATATTTAACCCACCTCAGTAGACTGCTTTCCACTATAAGACATTTTCTTGATGGCCACCACTTCATTGGTACGCACATCTCGTGCCTAAAAAAGAACAAAGAAAGGACTGTTTTAATAATTAACAGATTAAATCTGGGCAATTATTTCTTTGAGAATAAAACCCTTGTAAGATACTATGTCAAAAAGGACATCAAAACTGCTTTTAAAGAACATTCAAAAAATAACACTATGCAGCAAAACTTATAAAATTATCCAGGAGCTAGTACTTTGGAAAGAAAAATAAAGCAGGTTTACCACTGAGTAATGTAGTTGAGAGGAAAAATATAGAAATTTGAGTAGTACTATAATCAAATAGACAAAACAAGGCTAGTGCATACAAATCTATGCTAATAAATTTTGAGATCTCAATGAAATGGACAATTTTCCAGGAAATAATAAATTACTAAAACTGATTTAAAGAATAAAATGTAAGTAAAACAAACGATGTCAAATTGAAAAGAATTCCAATGAATTACCTTTAAAATAGTCTTCAATAAAAAAGTTACCAGGGGAATTTTCCAGGACATGAGGGGAGATAAAAAGAAAGCTATCCTATTAATTTTATGAACGCAGTATAAGCCCATAACTGAAATCTCACAAACAGTACAAAAACTGAAAGGTACTAAATTCATTGGTAAATGTAGACAGGGAAGCACTAAAATCAACAAATCAAATTTTACTGGGCATTAAAAGAATCTTTCACTTGGATAAAATATACAATCACAGGAATGTAGGAGATTTTGATACTAAGAAAACATTTCAATTCACATTTTTAAAAAGTCAAAGAGGAAAAATGTATACAAACTTTTAATAAATGCTAAAAATGCAGAAAGGGCCTAATTGTAAATGTATGCAATTGCAGAAAAGGCCAAACTCTTAGAAAACCAAAATTGGAAAGATATTTCCTCAACATGATAAATCATATCTATTGAAAACAACTGTTGTTAAACAGGATCAAGAGAAGACTCCTAAAATGCCAACACAATGATTTAACACTGTTGTGGAAATTCTGAAAAAAGTAGATAAAAAAAATAACAGAAACATGATAGTTAACTCTCTAGAAAAGAAGAGCCAATGTCTCATTTTGTGTAAAAAAGTAATAATATATATTAAGAAGGTACAAGACAATAGCTATAAAATATTTTAAATGAGTTTAATAAAAGGGTCAGAATCATTAAATCATAATTCATTTTCAATTCAGGCCGTAATGAATTCCCAAAGACAAAATGTTCTAAAACGGGATTATGGTGATGGTTGCAAAACTCATATTCACTAAAAATCATTGAAATGTACACTTAAAGTAGGTGGATTTATGGTATATAAATTATACCTCAAAAACTTGCTTTAAGAAAAAGGGCAGCATCTATAAATTATACCTCCATAAAGGTACTTTAAAAAAAAAAAAAGAAAACTCACAGCTCATCATCTGTGCTCTGCTAAATGGGTCCTAGGAAGAACTAATGATGTTTCAATTTCTTTTTTCTTTTTTCTCCTTTTTGTCTTTTTTTCGTGTCCGGCAATGGATCGCAACCCTCAGTGTCGCGCCCGTACCGGACCGGGACCGGCAACGGGATCGCAACCCTCGGTGTTGCACCCACACCTCGCTCAGCCACCAGTGAGCGGGAACCGGTCTGTATGTGGGATCCGAACCCTCGGCGGGAGCGCCGCCACGCTCCCAAGCGGCGCACTGTAGCAGTGCGCCACCGGGCCGGCCCTTGTATTTATTTTACAATAATTTTTTTTTCTCCATTAGCTATCATTATCCTATCTCCTTACCCATCTCCAGCCTTAAGCAACAATCTACTTTCTGTCTCTAGAGATCTTCCCATGCCTAATAAGACAGGATAACTAAGCACAGTATGTGATCTTGAAGGGAGGGAATAACACTTGTCATTCTGGACATTTCATATAAATGGAATTATATATGTGGGCTTTTGTGATTGGTTTCTTTCACTTAGCATAATGTTTTCAAAGTTCGTGACTAATAATGCTGAGCATCTTTTCATGTGCTTCCTGGCCATTGGTATATCTTCTTTGAAGAATTATCAATTCAGATACTTTGCCCATTTTTTACATTGGGTGTCTTTTGATTACTGAGTTTTAAGAGTTCTTTACAGACGAAAGTCCCTTATCAGATATATGATTTGCAAATATTTTCTCTATTTCTGTGGTTTGTCTTTTCACTGTTTTTAAGAATAGATACTTTAATCCTGACGAAGTCCAATTTATATCTTTTTTCTTTTGTCTGCTCATGCTTTTTTTTTTTTTTTCCTTTTTTCTGTCTTTTTTACTGACGGGTAACGGGATCGCAACCCTCAGTGTTGCGCCCGTACCAGGGACCGGCAACGGGATCGCAACCCTCGGTGTTGCACCCGCACCACGCTCAGCCAGTGAGCGGGAACTGGTCTCCACATGGGATCCGAACCCTCGGTGGGAGCGCCGCCGCACTCCCAAGAAGCGCACTCTCCAGTGTGCCACCGGGCCGGCCCACTGCTCATGCTTTTGGTGTCTAAGATTCCTTTACCAAAACCAAAGCCATGCAGATTTACCCGTGTTTTCTTCCAAAAATTTTATAGTTTTAACTGTTATACTTCGTTCTTTGATCCATTTTGAGTTGACTTTTATAGATGGTCCGATTTCATTCTTTTGCATAAAACAGCCACACTTTTAATTAGCCTAAGATAAGGTTTGATTTAGAAGTGAGTATACTAAATGCAATACAATATTCTGGATTGGATCCTGGAACAGAAGAGAGACGTTAGTGGGAAAACTGGGAAAATCTGAATAAAGAATGTAGTTAATAATATTGTATCAGTGTTGATTTCTTAGTTTTGATAAATATATCATGGTAAAATAACATATTAATATTAGGGGAAACTGGGTGAAGGCTATAGGGGAAAACTCTTTGCAAATTAAATTGAGATATAATCTTTGCCTATTCTTAAAAAATAAAAATATTTAATGTCAGCAAATGTTCTTCCGTCCCAGTGAGATCACATACTGGGCTTAGTTATCACGTTTTATTAGTCTCCTCTAATCTGAAAAGATTCTTCAACCTTTCTTTGTCTTTCATGACATTGACATTTGTGAAGAACAAATGGATATACAATGGATATTTTACAGAATGTTTCTAAATTTGTACTCACCTAATGCTATAGATCCCTGACCAAAATACTACACAAGTGATATTGTATCACACCAAAGGTATACAATGTCTCATTGGTGTTACTAATTTTCATCACCCAAAATGCTGTCTGGTTTTTCCAATATACAGTATATAGCTATAGTTACTGTTTCCCACCGTGCATCTAACAAGCAATCTACAGGGAGATAATTTTAAATCTTATAAACATCCTGCTCTTCATTAAACTTATTACCTAGATTTAGCAACCACTGAAGCAGATTCTAGCCCAAAACAATCTTCACTGATTTTTCTAACTTTATTATTCCCTCTACATTTATCAGTCAGCATTCCACTATAAGGAAGAGCCCTCCCTTCTTATCCATCCATGCATCCGTCATCTATCATGGAAATTACGGATTCCTATTTTATTCAGTTGGTTATAACCCATTACTGTCTTTATATTGATGTTAAAATTGTCCCAGCTTTGGCCAATAGGAGCCTCTTTAAGCTTAATCCGGTGTCTTGATAGCCCTACCATGCACACTTTTTAAAAACACTTTTTAACTTTCTGACGCAAGATGTTCTAGGCTTATCTTTTACATTTCCTGTCCCAGTAATATAATGACCCAGTCCTCCAAAGAGCTCTTGGGTAGTGTTATGCCTCCAGCTTTATTTATTTATTTTTTTTGCTCAGGATTGCTTTGGCTATTCAGGGACTTTTGTTGTTACATATGAATGTTGAGGTGTTTTTGTTTTTCCATTTCTGTGAAGAATGTCATTGGTATTTTGATGGGGATTACATTGAATCTGTAGATAGCTTTGGGTAGTACAGACATTTTCTCAATGTTAATTCTTCCAATTCAAGAGCATGGAATATCTTTCCATCGTTTTGTATCTTCTTTATTTTCTTTCAACAGTGGTTTGTGGTTCTCATTTTAGAGATCTTTCACCTCCTTGGTTAAATTGATTCCTAGGTATTTTTTTGTGTGTGTGACTGTTGTAAATGGTCTTACTTTCTTGATTTCTCTTTCTGTTAGCTCATTATTGGAGAATATAAATGCAACTGATTTGGTGGCATGTATTTTGTATCCTGCAACATTAATGAAATTATTAACCAGCTCTAGGAGTTTTTTGATAGAGTCTTTAGGTTTTTCTATATACAGTATCATGTCTGGCAAATAGGGACAGATTGATACTACCTGACTTCAAATTATATTACAAAGCTATAGTAACCAAAACAGCATGGTACTGACATAAAAAGAGACACTCGGACCAGTGGAGCCAAACAGAGAATGCAGAAATTACCCCTCAGGCCTACAGTCGTCTGATATTTGACAAAGGGAACAAAAACATACATTGCGGAAAAGACTGCCTCTTCAATAAATGGTGGCTGGGAAACTTGGATATCCATATGTAGAAAAATAAAACTAGACATGCACCTCTCACCATATACTAAAATCAACTTAAAATGGATTAAAGACTAAACTATAAGACCTGAAACTATAAAATTACTAAGGGAAAATATAGGTGAAACACTTCAAGAACTAGGTCTGGGCACAGACTTTACAAACATGAGCCCAAAAGCACAAGCAACAAAAGAAAAAATAAACAAATGGGATTATATCAAACTAAAATGCTTGTGCACAGCAAAGGAAACAATCAAGAGAATGAAATGACAACCTACAGAGTAGGAGAAAATTTTTGCTAACTATGCATCTGACAAGGGATTAATAGCCATAATATACAAGTAACTCAAGCAATTATACAGTAAAAAAAAGAATAACCCAATTAAAAAATGGGCAAAGGAACGGAATAGACATTTTTCAAAGGAAGACATACAAATGGCCAATAGGTACATGAAAAAATGCTAACATCACTAGTCATCAGGAAAATGCAAATTAAAATCACACTGAGATATCAT